GCAGCATGGTCCTGTTAGCAGTGTGGTTCTGTTAGCAGCATGGTCCTGTTAGCAGCATGGTCCTGTTAGCAGTGTGGTTCTGTTAGCAGCATGGTCCTGTTAGCAGCGTGGTCCTGTTAGCAGCATGGTCCTGTTAGCAGCATGGTCCTGTTAGCAGCATGGTCCTGTTAGCAGCATGGTCCTGTTAGCAGTGTGGTTCTGTTAGCAGCATAGTCCTGTTAGCAGAGTGGTTCTGTTAGCAGCATGGTCCTGTTAGCAGTGTGGTTCTGCTAGCAGCATGGTACCAGATATGTATGTATGTGATATGCTGTGTTTGTTTTTCTAAGAATGTATTTCTAATCTTTAAAAGTTGCAGAGCACTCCTAAGTAGTTAGTATGTTACCTGCACTAGACAGCAGTCGGTCAGTTCTTTGAGCTTTATACATTCATCCTAATGAGAACAGAAACTAATCTGGAGCCTTAAAGGTCTTTAAATATCAACTCATTATTTTCTTATTCACCTCTAGTTGAAAGAAAGGCAGAAGTTCTTCTCCATTTTCTACATGTCGATCAATGCTGGGAGCCTCTTGTCCACGTTGATCACACCCGTACTGAAAGGTGGGCGTTCACAGCTGTCCAACACGTGTTGCTCTGCTCCAGATGTTTTCTGTGTGTGTAACGTCACTCCACTCCTGCAGGGGGCGTGGAGTGTTTTGGTGAAGACTGCTACGCTCTAGCCTTTGGAGTTCCCGCAGCTTTGATGATAGTGGCATTAGGTGAGTCTTAAAAGTATCATATACTCACTTTTATTTCTCAAAGCACAAGAAATTATATTATTTGGCAAAAAACCCAACTCTTTACTTAACTCTATACCTGATCTTGAATGGTTGATGTTTATTAAATAATTCACAAACGTGTTCAACAATTTCAGTGTAAACTAGAGGAATTGTATTTCCTGTGAAAATGCAGTGTGGATGCTTATTGCAGAATAACTTGCTAAAAACATGCTGAAATGGAAGAGCAAGCCTAACACAGCTGAAGAAAACAGAAAGAACACACATTTGCTGAATTAGGTTTAAATAAGCAGAAATGAGCACAAAAATTAGGAAATTGGCCAAAAAAAGTAGCTGAAAAGGTAGAAAGAAGCTTAAACTATCAGAAGTAAGCGGAAAGAGCTGAAATGAGCTAAACAATGTGGAATTGGCTGAAAAGGCTAAAATTAGCTTAAAAACAGTTAAATAGTAGCTGAAAAAGTAGAAAAGTTGAAATTAGCAGAAATAAGCTGAAAAGAGCATAACAAGTGGAAATTAGCTGAAGAAAGTTTAAATTTTCTGAAAGAAGCTGAAGCAGAACAAAAAGTGAAAGGAGCAGTGAAAGGTTGTAAACACATCTAAAGAGCTGAAGGATGTAAAATGAGCTCAATTCATTTTCTGAGGAAAAAAAAATGTCAAAAAAGGCTAAATGTTTCAAAAAGCTAAAGCTGCACCAATACCAGAAGTCACAGCAGGACTGTCCTGAAAGAGCCGAGCGTTTTGATTTACAATTTGTTGAAGTAGATGGAAACTGCAGAACGAGAATCGTGACAAAAACGTATGGAAGAAAAACGGATCACAATAGTGTGAACGCTTCATGAGCATTCACACTATTAAAATCATAAAAAGCCGATGCTCCGTATGTGAACGAGTTCCGAATGAGCTCTACTTCGCCTTTTTAGGTTGCGTTTTCCAGGCTGGGCCTCCCTCTGAGCGAGACTCATCCACACTGACAGTCTGTTGTCTCTGCCTCTCAGTCCCCGTCACCCCCGACCCGTCCAGGATTCATGGCTGACAGCCCTCTCCAAACTGTGATTTCATCAGCGGTGGGGGGGCAGCGATGTATATCTCAGTGGGGCTGAGTCGGGAGCAGGTTTCACTGCTCGAGGCTGCAGGAGCGTTTCCAACATGTTTGATTTTATTAGAGCCGCACGGTTTAAAATGGCTTCTAACTTCTTTTATTTAAGGTGACCTCGTTGGTTGGAAACTAACCCAAGCTGTCCGTTAAAGAAACATGTCTGCCTCTGCGTCCCTCAGGTGTGTTCATAGCTGGCAGCAGACTGTACAAGAGGAATCCACCTCAGGGAAACATCCTGCTGCAAGTCTGCAACTGCATTGGTGTGAGTCCTCTCCCACTGTTGGCGTTTTACTTTGATGCCCATTAAGGTTTTTGCTTCAATAACGAGTTCTTGTCTGTAGTTTGCCCTCAAAAACCGCTGGAACAACTCCAAGTCCGACCCGAAGAGGGAGCACTGGTTGGACTGGGCAGAAGACAAATACTCGGTGAGTGTCACTCTTATTTCTTTATTTTTTCCAAGCATACGTTTGTGTTTTGTTCATTTTATTTTCCTCACTGTGTTTGTTGAGTGTTCAGTGTTTGTGTGTCAACAGAAGCGTCTAATCCAGGAGATCAAGATGGTCCTGAGGGTTCTGGTGCTCTACATCCCCCTGCCGATGTTCTGGGCTCTGTTTGATCAGCAGGTACAAGAACACAAATCTCTTTTAAAGTGCTCCAAGCTACAGCACAGTGAGATTATGTTCATACAGTCGTCGTCCGAAAGATGAGCGGAGTGCACGTTGCTGCTGCTCCTAAGAGCGCGGCCCCCTGTCCTTTAGTCAAGTCAAGTCAAGTCATCTTTATTTGTAGAGCACAATTTAAAACAGATAAACTGTTATCAAAGTGCTTAACAGAAATGTAGCAAAACATAGGCAGCAAAACAAAAAACATCATACAGAATTAAAATTACTGGAGCAATAACACACACTAATGATCACACTAAGGAAAGACAAGCAGTAAAAATAAACGTCAATCATAAAACAACAGAATTAAAATGAGGTACACAGAACAAAATAAACTAACTCACACAGTATTAAACGCCAGAGCAAACAGGTGCGTTTTAAGGAGGGATTTGAACATCAGGAGGGAGGAGGCCTGCCTGATGTTGAGGGGCAGGTTGTTCCACAGGTTGGGACCTCTGACTGAAAAAGCTCGATCCCCTCTGAGCTTCAGGCGTGATTTTGGAACGACCAAAAGAAGCTGGTCCGATGATCTCAGGGCCCGAGACGGAACATATGGTTCCAGGAGCTCAGAGAGGTAGAGGGGTGCGAGGCCATTTAGGCACTTATATGTCAGGAGGAGAATCTTGAAGTCGATTCTGGATCGCACAGGAAGCCAGTGAAGGGAGGACAGAACAGGTGTGATGTGCTCAGACCTACGTGTACCAGTTAAAAGCCGAGCAGCTGCATTTTGGACGAGCTGGAGACGTGAAATGGACGCCTGACTGACCCCAGCATAAAGTGAGTTACAATAGTCCAGGCGGGTTGTGATGAAGGCATGGACTAATGTTTCAAGGTTGGGTCTGGATAACACTGGCTTGAGCTTAGCTACCTGCCGCAGTTGGAAAAAACTTTTCTGCAGAACTGAACTGATCTGTTTGTCAAACTTAAAATCCGAGTCAAAAACCACCCCGAGATTTCTAACAGTGTGCTTGAGATAGGGCTGAAGTGAGTCCAGGTTTGCAGGATCTGAGGAGGCAGCTGAGCTAGGACTAAAGACGATGACTTCAGTTTTCTGGTCGTTAGATTGAAAAGGGGAAAGTCCATGAGGAAAGGATGGTGGTATTACAAAACAGATCTCTTCACATCTTGTCTTATCAGGACACGATTGAAGACATAAAAAAACCTCTACCTGCAGCACATTTATAATCGAGGTACAAATGCATTTGACGACAAGACGGTGAGATTTGTCCATGAAGCTATTCCAGATAGCACCATAGTCCTGTTAAGATGTTGGTGTCAGTCGGTACAACTCTGATGAGCTTTCACGGGAGTTCTCGGGGGGGGCGGGTTGTGCAGGGCACGGATAGCACAGAGCTTTCTTAGTTTACACATATCCCAGGAGAAATTTGATGTTGGCCTGCTTCAAGGCTGAACGGGGAGTCAGCTTCAGATAAGCCACAGTTGTAGATTTGTTTTTTTTTCCAGGCAGACTGTTATTTCCTGTCAGCCTTGAGTTCTGCTGGTACTTTCGATATCCAAAATGTCCAGATTTGTGGGCATTCCACTGGTCCATGCTTATCAGCTCCCTCCAAGGTCGTCCCCAACATACCGGCGAGTCCCAGAAGCTGCAAGTGGCCTGCGATTCTCACAAATCGCTTCCATCTTACGGTTGAGCTCATAAATCAGCTGATTTTGAGTACTTGAAGTACAAACCAAACCTTCACATAAGGTGCTTATGGTTTTTATTTATTTATTTTTAATTACTAAAAGTCTAGTTTCCTCAAATGATTGGGGTGGCTGGTGGGCTGGCCAAAAATTAATCTATGGTGGCCAAGGTCACCATTGGACACCCCCTGGCTCCGTCACTGCCCTTGGTGGTAGATAAAATTGCTCCCTCCACTCGCCAGCATCCGACACTATACACCACCTTGGACAAACAAACAAACAAACTCCATCTTTTGTTCTCCACAGTGTAACTCTGACCCACTTGAACGTCTTGCACCTAAAAACATTTAGGTTTACTTGCATTCCTTGTTCAATTCCAGTCCTGAACAAAAACACTTATCTGTAAAACTACAAACATTCATTATTCAAGTCCTTCAGCGACAGGAGACATCGACATGTTCAAAAGATGGTTTTTGCCTAAAAGTCTGGCATGAAGTAATCTGTATTTCTTTAAGAAATGGAAGACTCATGTTTTTTTATTGTATTCAGCTGTGTGAGCAGAGTACACGTTACATTTATTTAGATTTTCTGTATGACATCTTTCATCACGATAAGCTCCAAAGTTTTAGGTGACGCCACGAGAGCTGCTATATTTTTCTAACAGGAACAGAAGAGTCTGAAATCAAGTGTCATCCTTCAGAAGGTGGACCTGCTCTAGATAATCTGCCCACAGCTCCTGAAGCTCTGCATAACTCTCTGTTACTGCGCCTGCCGTCATGACCGTCGGCACGAACAGTTCATTATAGAAAACCTCCAAACCACATTCAGCATTCCTGACTTGAACTTGAGAGTATCGCTCATTTTACAGTCGACTGACTGGGTCAGATATGACAAACAAAATGTATAGATTTAAAGTCACTTATTTAACCGGTGGTTAAATTGTTTTGCTGATCTAAATCTAAAGCTTTTACATTAAAATTTTATTATTTTTTTTTTCCTGCAGGGTTCCCGTTGGACTATTCAAGCCACACGGATGAACCTGGCTTTTGTAAGACTTTTCCTCACCCAACACAAGCATGTCAAAATATCAAAGCTGCTGATGTTTGCACTTCTACATCAGTGGGTGGATTTGAGCATAACTCTGTTTTGCACCAGATGTCCCATAAAGTGAACGAATGGTTTGAACGCTGCAGTGGTTTGTTGTTTTACTGCAGTAAATAACATTGTTTATGACTTTGATGAATCATATAGTCATCAGGTCGGGATTAACAAAGTTAAAATTTAAATTCTTGTCTGTTTCATCACAGGGAGAATCCTTCATAATTCAGCCTGATCAGATGCAGGTACGTGCGCTCTGCTCGGGTAGTTTTTCACATAAGTAATAATATACCACTGGATGTTCGGACATAAAGCGATGCCGATCCAATAGTTTATGTCTAGAAGAGAAATACAAGTCATCATCATCTTCCACTTGTTCTGGAGTCGGGTCGCGGGGGCAGCATCTGGAGCAGGGAGACCCAAACATCTCTCCACAGCCACCAGCTCTTCTGGGAGGACTCCAAGGTGTTCCCAGGCCAACCGAGAGACACAGTCTCTCCAGCGTGTCCTGGGTCTTCTCCGGGGTCTCCTCCCAGTTGGACATGTCCAAAACTCCTCCCTAGAGAGGCGTCCAGGAAGCATCCTTACCATCCTTACTTGCGTCGTCGTTCCGTAGTTGTCCCCTACTGCAGAATGAAGAGGGTGATATTGTCCATCTGTTCATGTTGTGAGCATGATGTCTGTAAAAATAAGATATACTGACTTCCATTTTGGTATGTGGCTGCATCTTGGTGTAAAACTGGTCCTTATCAAAAACTGGGCTGCCACATCAAAATCCAACCGGCCACCCTGATCACGTGAGGAAACTGATTTCTAGTTTTATATTGCTGTAAAGTATAGTTTCCTGAAACGCCTGAGGTGCTGGTCCTGGTGGTGGATAAAACCGCTCCCTCCACTCGGCACGATCTGTCACTCTGTGTTGCCCCAGACAAGCAATAAATAATAATGCATATATAAACTACCTCTGTTTTTATACGTAGTACCCGCTTGACTATCGTGCACTAAAAACATGAAGGTTTGCTTGCATTGCCGGTTCAGTTCCAGTCCAGAGAAACTCATCTCGTGCAGCTGCTGTGTCCCTTCCTGCCCGAAGCCTGCGTTCACACAGCTGCGACGATCATCGGACATGAACTAATAAATTACAAACTGCAAAGCTGGTGTTGGTATATCGTGGCTTGTTGTGACAGTTTGTGTCGGGCTGATAAAGGTGTTAAAGTCTGACGCGTCTGTAAATGATTGGGATCTATTAAAACTGTGTAAATGACAGTGATCTGTAGAGACGCAGCCCTGAAAGACACGATTAAAGCTGCAAGATTCTTATTGAATAAGATAACCGACCTGAAATATATATATATTTTCATTTAAACAAACCTGTGCAGTCCAAACACTTTGAGGTGTTTGTAAAGAAAGCCCATGTTCTAGTGTCATCATCTTTATGGCTGCTTATCGCTGCCGTCTTCCCATCATTTTACAGTCACTGGGACCAACAGGCAGCCTCTTTTGACTTTATGAGTTTTATGGAATCGTTTTAAGGTTAATGTTTTCTCTCTGCTGTCTAGATGCTGAATGCTCTGATGATCCTGCTCTTTGTGCCCATCTTTGACCTCGTCATATATCCGCTCGTTGGCCTGTGCCGAGTCAACATCACGTGAGCAAAGCCCTCTTGTTTTGGAGACTCCTGTCTTTGTGACCGCCCGAGGCTTTTAGGGGCCAACTAACAAAAACCACGTGCAACTCTTTTAACTCTTTAGGTCTTTGAACATCCTGCGGGTTTATTACAGCAAATCCAGCCTTCATCTGAACCTTTATTTTAATTATAAAGACATCGTTCAAGTACAAAAAAGAACTAAATCTAGTGGTTCTGCACATACAGAGAATTTATTTTAATGTCAGAGGGAGTTGTCCAGTTGAGGCCAGAGATTTATTTCTTTATAAAGCGGGAACTTATTTAAGCAACACCTGAGAAAAGGCACCGGTCGTCACGCTCCTGAGACTGCGTGCACTAAAATGTTGAACGTGCATGTTTCAAATGTAGCAACTTCTGAGTAAATGTGGCATTTCATTCACACGAATGCAGATTTTTGGCACCGCAGATTGTTTTTTCCATAAACTTTTTGTTACGTTTTTTTAAAAACTCTTATTAGCGTTAAAACAACAGGCTCGTGGTGAGGAAACGTGCACGGTTATCTGTTCAACACACAGTTATACTCTGAGTCCGGTAAGACTCATAACCTGAAACAACTAGAGAATAAATAATTTTTACATAATTTCAGCTAGTTTAAGTCATTTTAATATAGATTTATTTTCAAACAATGTGTTGAAACTGACATGGCTATAGCACCAGATCCATATTAATTTAACTATATATGAACTCTGGCCAAACCTATACATCCCTATATATTATATATGTATGCTTCGTGTAGTAACACTTTACTAAAAAATGTTAATGTTTGACATTTAATCTCAGTTATTGCATCACGATCTTGTCACATAACCAGTTTTAAAAAATGTATTCAGACAGTTGATCATCAGTTTTACGTTAGAATAAATAGACGAGTCTTTGTCCCCCGTCGCAGAGCCAACAGGCAGAATTGGAACTGCCCTTCGTCCGTCCATGTTGGGAGCACGATAAATTTAAAAATAATTGAGGTACCGACGCCCGTTTTGGTGTGGCTACATCGAGGAGTAATAAAGGTTGTTTATGAAAATTGTATTTTTGCACACTGGTGCACATTTTATCCAACGTCTTCTTGACTGCCCGGTGGACATCAGGGACTGCGTACCTTTCAATTTCTTAATCTTTAATGAGAAGAAGACAGAAGTCATGTTGTTTCCACCTAATGGCTCAATCAGGAGCCACTGTGTCGACCTTTTCCTCTCTAGCCCCGTTAGAGAAACAAATTGTCACTAATCTGGGAGTGAAAATGGATCTTTCCATGAAACTAAACTGTCATGATGTACACATGATTGTTACATCCTGGTTTTTGTTCAGTTGAGGCGACTGTCTAAACTGAAGCCCATGCATCCAAAACTAACTTTGAGACAGTAAAACATACTTTCATAACATCCAGGCTCAATTACTGCAGTGCACTTCTTTTTAGAACCAGTCAGATCTCTATTGTACCATCACAACTGGTTCAAATTACTCCAGTTCTGGCCTCCCTTCACCGGCTCCCGCTTCACTTTTGAATTAATTTTAAAATCCTTCTGTATGTTTTTAAATCCCTGAACAGTTCTGCCCCCTCTTATCTCGCTGATCTGCTGCAGCCATATCTCCCACAGCGCGCTCTGAGGTCAGACCAGATGCTTTATTGGCTCCAGGAACTCGTTTTAAGCTCAGAGGTGACAGAACCTTCTCTGCTGCAGGTCCAAGACTGTGGAATGAGTTGCCACTGCATGACAGGCAGGCTCCCCCTCTCACTGTTTTTAAGTCTAGTTTAAAAACTCACTTTTATTCCCTGGCTTTTGACACTGTGCGAGTTGATTTTAACTTGTCTGTATTTTATAAAGTTGGTAATTTAGTTCTTATCATTACCTCTTGGGATCTATTTTATCCAGTGTCCTTTGCTTGTTTTTGCTGGACATCACTTTGGTCGGCCTTGTTGCTGGTTATAAGTGCTTTATAAATAAAGTGCTATGGTATGATATACATCTATATACTGTATGTAAACTTTGTGAGCACTTCCATTTTGGTGTGTGGCTTGATTTAGGTGGAAGAAAGGCCACTATCAAAAATTACGTTGCTGTCAAATTCCAAGATGGCCACCACTGACCACCTCATTTCTAGTTTTTATATTGCTTCAAAGTACAGTTTCCTCAAATGATTGGGGCGGCCTAAGATTAACGGGTGGCCACCCCGCCTGCTCCACCATTGCATCTGTTTGTGGATAAAATTGCTCCAGGATCCATCACTCTGCGGTGGCCTGGACAAGCAGAAAGTTAGACCTCCACAGTGTAACTGTTCAATTCCAGTCCAGAGACACACTCGCTGTTGAAACCTCTGTGAGGAGGGACATGTGTGCACTGCTTGTTAACTTGGAGGTAAAGTCAAAGCAGGTGAGGATGCTCAGGACTGTTCTGACTAAATGTTCTCTGACTGTTTTACTGACTGTTCTGCCTTCAGGCCTCTCAGGAAAATGGCCACGGGGATGATTTTTGCAGCCCTCGCCTTCGGAGCAGCCACGCTGGTGGAGGTCAACGTTGTGGTAGGTTTGAGCAGAAGTCACGAGTTGTGCCGTTTTCTCCAAAAACTCTTTAATTTACTGTCATAGTTGAATACAGATGGGCGTAGATCATCTCTGTACGGTGCATTATTTCTGACTCTGCGCTAACACCTTAGGTTTTACAGGCGCATCTAAAATAATTACCCATAATCATCAACATTACAAGAAATAAAGTCTCGATATGTTTCACTCTGCGTGACGAATATTTGAGTTTCAGTTTCTGAAGTGATTGACAAAAATATGGAGCTTTTTTTTCACCGGATTCAAACTTTCTTTAGACGCACGTGCACGTCTCCTTCCACGATGAATATTTCTGATGTGCTCGAAATCAAAAGCCGCTGCTCTCTGACGTTCAGTATGCGTCCTGTTCTTCCTGTTAGAAAACGGTGGTGGAGCCAGCCCCTGCAGGGGAATGTCTCCTGCAGGTCGTGAACCTGGCCGGAGGAAACGTCCAAGTGATTGTTCCAGACAGCAGCCTGTTTCCAGACACCATCCCACACCTTCAGGTAGTCTCCTCAGAGGAACATGTTGGCCTGAACAATGCCAGGCAGCTTTTTCACTGATGCAGCTTTCTATATACAAGTACCCATGCACCAGCTGGATACAGGGAACATATACTTGTACTGGAAGTACTCAAAAAGTGCTTACATTTAGTATTTTGAAAGTGATTATGACTGCAATTGTTCCTTTTATAATTGATTGTTGGTATTTATTAGTTTGTCGTTAAAAAAAATGTAATATTTTATGTTTAAGGATGATTCAGACTTTTACAGCCTGTCTGAACCTAAAAAAGAGGCTGGAAACAAACTTCAACACCTACGCACCGAGAAACGGTTTGATTTAAGTGTAGTCTGCAAAAAACAAATAAAATCTGCGACACATTTTGAATCATTTCTTTCTTTAGATTTTACTCCAAACAGTGACTGTACATCAGAGGTGTCCAAAGTGTGGCCCAGGGGCCGTTTGTGGCCCATGGAGTGATTTTGTGCAGCCCATATTTACAGTTTAAGAATTAATTAATTTAGGCCTCTAAGCTGAAGTGACTGATGCAGAAGTAAACCTGTTGCTAATTAACTGGTGATCATTTTTAATAAAATTTGTAGGTTTAACAGCAAAAAATATATATATAAAAAAATCTCAAAATGAGCAGTATTAAGTTTAATATAGTCCTTTGGCAATAAATCAATAAAATCCAATTAATTAAAAAAAAAATTAACAAATGTTTTAAATGTTTTAGATTATAACAATTTAGAACTTCTCCACCAAAATTAGTCAGTTTTATGCTTTACAAAGTGTTGTTTATGTTGAGTAATTTTTTTTTTACTTAAAATATGTACGCTTTTAAAAATTATTATTATTATTATTATTATTAATGCGGCTCATGACTCCTTTCATCATCAAAGTTTTGGCCACATATGAAAATGTTTGGACACCCCAGCTGTACATAAAGGAACATTGCAGATCAGAAACTGCAGTTTACGTCATCTTTGAACACAAACAAGTAGAATTTTACATTTTTACTAATTTTAAATTCCCTTTGAGTAATAAACACTTTCCTTCTAATCTCTTAAACCTTCACGTCAGTGACTTGTTAAAGTAATCCTCTGTACCAGAGTGGGATATCAACCAGACCCCCCATGTCTCTGTCTGTCAGGACCCTCCTAATTACGAGCCGCTCCCCCTCGAGGCTTCCAGCAGGAAGCTGGACCTGGAGGTCTCTGCTCTTGGAGCTTCGTCTGTGTGCAGTGTGACGTTTGAGGAGCAGAAGGCGTACAGCCTCATCGTTTACAAAGAAACCGCTCGGATCACGTGCAAGTTGGTGAGTTGGTCGAACAGCGGTCGGCCTTTTCTGTTTGGTTTTGTGTTTTTAATCTCAGGTACTGAATGTGGCCCAAATCTGCTCAACTTCATTTCAAAAGTGTACAACAGCAGCTTAAACCAAAGATGAAGGATGGCTGCCAAGTGCGTGCACATTTAACTGAGGTGGGCATCAAAATAATGTGCAGAGACCGGTTGTGATTGTAACAAGCGGCGGCTCTAAACGTGGCCCCGCCTGGTCAAAGCTGCAGAGTTCAGTGAGACGCCACAGGAAACTATTGTCCTCACATATCCTGATGCATGCTCAATAATCCAGGTAGAACTGTCCTCGCAGTTTGCTTCAATGCTTGAGTCACCAGCTGAGCCGGCGCTGCTCAGCGAGAAACCATTTATTGTCTTTTGGGCAAAGCCACACATTAATTTTTGTCCGTGTTTTTATTTATGCATTTTATTGGTGAAGTCAACTCAGTATTTTTTCTGGCAAAGACTAAAATATATATATTTTTTTACTGTAGTTTAGATTTTCTTATGCTCCTGTAAGCTCACTTTAATTTTATTACACCCTCGTGCACCTTATGGGAACAACTGGCCTCACTGAAACGTTACAACTTTGAATTTTTTTTTATTTAATTTTTTTAAAACATTAAAAAAAAATCATTCAGGGCATATTAATGCAAGGAAATTGCCTTTTTTAATTCTAGGCTCAAGGTTTTTGTCATTTGCATCACACGTGGCACATGAGGTGGAACAAAATTGTGTACTCAAGGTCCCAATTACACCCAAAAATAGCAAAAATATAAATTATAAAAAGAAACGGTAGACAAGGATCTAAGATGTACGATAAACAATAATATTATAATATAAATAAGGTGTAAAATTGCTGTAAAATATTAATTTTGTTGATTTAAAAGCAAAAATGAATTGTGATTTATTTATTTAAATAAAGGCACTTAAAGAGATAAACATTTTATATAATGTTAGGCTGATATAAGTCTAAAAACTGACCAGTTCATTGTTTAAAAAGAAATATAAAAATAGTATTTTTAAGCAGTTAAATAAGATTTCTGTTCCCCCAGAGGAAATGAATGTTCACGAAGCATTAACAGTCTCACATGATTCTGTATTTCTGGTTTTTAAGCTTGAGGTTTTGACGTAAATTAATAAACCGATCAATCTTGAACGTTTATCTCAAACAAAAAAAAAACAACTTTCTTATTTACCCCAACTTTAATGCTCCAACAAACTCTACAAACCTAAAGATCACCTCATGAACCTGATCGTCGTGACGACCTTCACGGTTTAATTCCTGACTACACAGAAGAGGTGACGGACGAGCATCAGCCTTAATTCACACAAGAGAAAATAACTTTTAATCGTATTAATCACTCACAGAGAGATCTGATGTTTAGAGTAAAATTAGGCTTAAACGTTGAACTGAAAACTGAAGTTGGAAAGAGAACAAACGAGCTGACGGGATGTTCTTTTGTTATTCAGGTGGAAGACTACATATATAAAAATGAAAATGGGACCCCTAATGTGAGGTAAAACATGTTGATTCTTAGAAATCCTTTTAACACAAATACATTAGAATCCATTTTGAATCTTAGAAGCATAGATTTATGAATCCAGCCCGGTGAGTGAGTTCTCCTGGTTTAAATTCAACAGGTTCCTCAACACGAGGCCGGAAGCCGTAAACATAACCGTTGGAAAGGAGACGTTTTTTGTGCCCCCTGACTACAGCGTGTCTGCCAACAGGAGCGTGGAACGAGGAGCGTGAGTACACCTGACCAACATCTGGGTTCGAACTGGAGACAAAAACACTAACTCCAGATGAACAGCAGGTGTTCAGATGCGTTTTCTGCCTTGGAACGAGAACAAAACCGAACCACCGAACGACTTTCTTTCAGATTCTTTGGAATATATTTCAAGGACGTCCAGAAATCGTGCTTTTTAAACTCATCCTGTAATTGTTGTTTACTGTCGTGTGCGTAGTTACTCGGCGGTCGGCTGCAGCTTCCAGTCGAAGACGTGCGAGCTCAACCTGGGCCTGCTGGACTTTGGAGCTTCCTACACGTTCATACTCGTAGAGGTCAGGATGCTTCATTTTCCTTCGATCGCTACAGAATTCACTTACTGTTACAACGTGACTGACGCGTGTGTGCCTCGTCAGGAATCGGGGAAAATTGTTGCTAAAAGGATGGAGGATGTGAAAGCCAACAACGTGCACATCGCCTGGCAGATCCCTCAGTACGCCCTCATAACTACAGGGGAGGTCATGTTCTCCATCACAGGCCTGGAGTTCTCCTACTCGCAGGTCTGACACTCTGACTACAGAATGTGTTCTCTGAGGATTAAACACCAAAAAACTTCAAGTTTCTTCTAGTATTACTACATTAATCCAGATTACAGGCAGTAATCACAGCTGGATGTGTGCTGCAACACAAAGAAACAACCAGGATGGCGACATTTAATGCACCGTTAGGAATTTATTTGGTGTTCTGGCACTTTATTGGAGCAGCTAAAACCAATTTTACCCAAGAATTGTGCAAATGTGTCGCGGTTACATTATTATTTTACCAATGTGTTACTAGTACAAGGCTACTGACAGAAGAAAACAAATAATTTGACACAAAGACCATTTAAGTTGATCAATAAATTGCTTTACGGTGATTACTGTGCAGAAATGAGGTCGATTTGTCAGCCATCTTGAAAAAAGTATTCTCTTTTAACTAACTTAAATAAAAGAACCACACTCGACAGCAGGAGAAGATTTTTAACTGGTATTTACTTGCAAGGTCAGATTTTCAGGACAGGTTACACAGATAAACAGGAAGTACACGCATGAAGACCAGTCGGGAGGATCTGCCACGAGCCGCGTGTGCAGCTTGTTTTTATACACGTACCAGTTCAGCCGAGCTCACAGACTCGCAGACGTCCTTGGAGTGCCAGCTGCAGCCTCACCCAGCTCTCTACTAACCCCAAACATATGGTTCATGGGCAGAGTTAGCATTCTCAGACATAACAGTTAAAACATCCATAAATTTTGACTAAAAACTTTGTAACGGCCGCCATCTTTGATTTTTGAATTATCACTTGGACAGATTTGACAAATACCTCAAAGAATCTCTTTGTACCAAACTTGGTGCTTGTATCACAATTTGTATGAATTTTCTATTATATGCTTTTACTGCGTTGCTGGTCTAGAGCTGAATGGTGCGTTAACACGATGTCAAGGCGGAAAGACATCTGCAGTGATCTTAGAGAAGCAACTGTTGCTGGGAGTGGTTAAAGGTAATGTCCAAACAATATAGGGTTCACCGTTTTACAGAAAGATTATTCATGAGTGGAAAACATCTAAGACAGCTGATGTCTTCAAAGGAGTGAGCGCCCCAGTAACTTCACCCCGTTGTCAGACTGTGCAATGCTCAGAGATTTGATGAAGAAAAACAAACGACGAAGAGCTCCCTCTTTGACTCTTCAGGTCTCAGTTAGCAGGACTGAAGCAGAAAACGTCTGTTTAAAAATGAGTGTTGTGAAAAGCTCACAGTAAAAAAAAAGAAATGTGAAGTGGCCATGGACGTCTTGTGGAAAAGGGTGTGCATTTAATATCTTACCTGCTGTAGATATCTCTTTGAATGATCCCCGTGTAAAGAAATACTTTAATTTGAACGAGTTTGAACCTCTAGTCTGACTGCTGTTGTCTAAAAACAACTCGGATCTCAAAAACTCACGTTAACTCTGTTTTATTTGTGTCAGTTTGGCACAAAATGGTAAATGTGACTGAAATAAAACGCTCCAGCAGGAAGTGTGCGTCAGGCTGCAGACAAAGTGCTGCACCTACCTGTTGCACTTGCAAAGAAAGCAGCACATTTCTACAGAAATACCTGCGCAATGTGAAACTGAAGGTGGCGTAAAGAAAGTTAAAATAGTTTTTGCATCCACTGCTATAAAACTTAGGAGATCTGAGTTGTTTCAAGATGGCAGCAACCCATTTTTATCTTTGCTTACTAATTTGGTCACAATTAAACTATTTCTCCAAACTGAGGTCAATCAAAGAGGCATCTACAACAGGTAAGATACTAAGTGTTCATAACATTTCTACCGAACCCCACTTCAAATTATCTGAAGTATTAACGTAAAACCTCATAAACAAACATACAAGCTGACTACAACAGCACTTTTTATGTCGCCTGTAATATCTATTTTTAATCAATAATTTTTCTGACATTGTTAAAGGCTGCACAAATACACTTCAGCTATACGTGTCAAAATGGTTGAAATACCACTTTTTTGGTTGAGATTGTAACTGTTTTGCACCTTAGCTGCTTTACCTGATCTGACAGCAGACAAACGAAACGTTTCCCATCTCCATGCCGCCTGTAGCGAAGCGATGAGGAGTAACTGTTAATGCTCTCCGACCGTCCGTCTGCCTGCATGGTACGATAACTTTAAAAAAAAGAAGAAGAAGGGAGGAGCCAGCTTTCATTGTGGTGTGTGCAGGGCTTAATTTGTAAACTGATTGATGCCGGAATGCAAATAGTGGGCGGGGGAGTGGCAGACAAGGGGGGCGCACGGGGGTGGGGAAGTGGAGGGAGCTTGTAGATCCTCCTCCCCCTTAAGTTTTGGAATAAAGTAGATGCTATTTCCTGCACTTTGGTGCAGCCTCTTTTAACTGGTTGTTAAACATCTACATTTGTAAACACTTGATTAAATTATTAATTTAGAGCAACAACAGGTTGTGTGTGAATAGAGCAGCTCCGATTCTGTCAAGCGTCCTAACCCCCCCACTTCACGTTTCTGAGCCGAACTCTTCTTCGCTGAATTAATTCCTGCACGTTGTTGTTGCTCCTGCCTTCTCGGTTGTCCAACTAAGGACACTCCATCCATCCATTTGTTTAATGAAAGTAAACTGGACTGTCTTTTCAACATTTTGATCGCTGGTATTTTGACAAATTAGCGCCGTTGTTTTGATGCGTGATTAATATGAATAATACACATCAAACATTTCTCTCGTTGTAGTTTTTTTTTACTGTACCTAAGCTTTTTTATTTAGTATGCCTGAAACGTATGTGTGCGTTCACATCAGCAGTTGTGCACGCTCTCTAGAGCGGTCTTGAGATGTTCCTGTGTGTAAGGTATGGCAAGCCAAGTGGCCCATTAATAGCCACTTTTACCACATGTCTGGCTATTAACGGGCCACTTGGCTTGCCATATTGATGAAGACGCTTCATCCCCACGGGACATGTCGTCTGTGTCTCTGCTGGGCAGGAGTGTGTGCGCGAGCTGGTGCACCTGCTGCAGCTGTAATATCCACTCCTCTCTTTGTATTTTTAATAAATAATCAAAATTAAAATGCTCAATGACTTTGGACATTTAGGGGCTGAGATTTGAGTTGCCGAATCTGAGCAAACTGTTGCTGGAACGCACCCGGTCACAACGAGGGAGTTCCCGGATCTTGTTCCGGCAGGATCCGGCTCAAATAAAGCACTGGGTGTGCGGCTGCGTCTATGGGTACAAGGGCCACCGTCAAATTTTGGGTTGCCACATCAATATCCAAGATGGCTGCCGTCATATATGGTATTTAAATATATAAACCGACCACCCCTTTCATTGGAGGAACCTATGCTTTCTATTTTTGCTTACAAGTATAGTTTCCTCAAATGACTGGGGTGACCCTTGAGGATTACTGTATTCCAAATGGGCCGAGGCCACCATTGGCCACCCCCTGGCTCAGCTATTGCACCTGATGGTGGATAAAATTGCTCCCTCCAGTTGCCAGGATCCACCACTCCTCCATTTTGCATCAAAAACATTAAGATTTACTCCACTCTGTTCAATTCCAGTCCAGAAAAACACTCGTCTGGAAAACTACAAATACTCGCTCTTCAGTCCCTCAGCGACCGTGGATGTCGGCGTACTGCGAAACGATCTATAATGAACCATAAACTTGCTTGTAGTTTATTTCAGTGTTTTGTTTTCCCTCCAGGCTCCCACCAACATGAAGTCGGTCCTGCAGGCCGGCTGGCTGCTCACGGTTGCGTTCGGGAACGTGATCGTGCTGATCGTGGCCGAGGGCGCCGGGCTAGAACAGGTAGAACATTGTGGGGCAGTGAAGGCCACGTTCATCCAACCACAACAAACGTTTCCTCTTCCAGTTTCACTCCTAATATGAACTTGTGATATGTTCTCAGTGGAAAGAGTTCCTGCTGTTTGCCGGCCTCCTGCTGGGCGTTTGCATCATCTTCTCCATCATGGCCGCCTTCTACACGTACGTCAACCCCGAACAGCTGGACAAGGTTTTCCTGGAGGACTCGGAGAAGGACGAAGACGACGACAACATGAAGAAGAAAGATCTGGTGATGAAGGGAACAGGAAAGAGCACCAGGCTGTAATTCAGAGCACTATTTTAGTTCGGCTGCTTCCTGACGTACGTTTGTGGAAAAGACAAGCGGATGTTTGACATTTCTTTGCTGTTGTGACTTCCAGTATTTGTGGCGTCGTTCACATAAATTCACTCCACTGTTTATAATCATACACAAAACACAGAAAACTATTTTTACATATTCATGCTCATCCAGAAAACAGAACTTAACAGATATAAAACGTGTGATCATCTGCGTAAAGATTAATGTAGCAGGTAAAGTTTAGAATCTATTTGTTGCATTTGTTGTTGTTGTCATGAATCTATTAGAACACCAGAAAAATTAAGTTTACAGTTTCTACAAGAGAATCTGAGAATCTTCAAGAAAGAAAAAGGGTTTAAATATCTAATGTCCTGAACAGTTTACTGGAGCACACTGAACTGTTTGTGTCTTTTGTAAAACTTTCTAATTGATTTATTTGCATTTTATTTGCAATGGGAGCACTTCAAATACTTTCTGAATTCAATACGAACACGAGCTTCTTGTACGAATCCATACGTGCTGTAAGAAAAAACACAAAAATAGCTCAAACGTAAAACTACCTGATTCACTCTGAGCTTTATGACCGTAGTTTATGGTTTTTATACAGGGAAAAGTAAATTACGCTGCTCCCTATAAACTATTGTAAAAAAAAAAATAAAAAGGTAACTGTGATGCTAAAACTTATGTTTGTTGTTTTAAATGAAAATTAAAGTGTGGAAACGGTTCACAATTCTCCACATATTTTTTTTATGCCTCGTTAGAAAAGTGTGAGCAGTGGCAGAAAACATTTTGACGATAAAATCCTTTCGATCACGTTAGTGCCAGTATTCATCATTCCACGACAAAGAAACACTCGGGAAACAAATGCAAGCTCCACTGGAATACTGTCTTGAATTATTTGTTTTATTAGCATAGTAACTTGATTGAGACGGTTATTTTTCTTTTCCTGGAAGACCCAAATTGGATAAAGGTGTTCAGAGAAACAGCAGGAAATGTGAGCCCTGCTTGATGCTCCTCACACCTGAGGTTCTGCTAGGACTAAAGACAAAAGTCTGACATTAAAGTGAGACGGGGGGTTGGAGTATAAACGTCTGCAGACACAGATTCTTGTTTTTAGTTTAGTCTTCCCCACAACTTTCTTTAACGGCAGTCCCCTGGGAGTGTTCGGCGGGTGATGCTGAGAGACGATCTCCTCGGTGTCTTTCCAGGAGAAGCTCGGTGACACGACTCGTGACGTCAGGATGCACCAGACACTCCAACAGGTCGTTCGTGGTTATCAACGGGAGTCCTGGGCCTTTATTATTCTCCGCCCAGGCCTGTGTGGTCTCGTGCTCCTGTGCAGCACGGTCCTCCTGAGATGCAGCACGGTTTGTGGAAGTGTTGACCTCTCCATCGTTAGGGACCGTTCGCTTCAGCTCATCTCGCTGACTGCAGACGAGGAGGAGATGTGGTCCAAGTGAAGAGGCGCTGAAGGCCGCAGAAATCTCTGCCCCGTCTCGGTTTGTCTTTATTTTCTGAGCAGCCCTCGGCTTGTCGGGGGAAAGGCTCCTCTTTCTGTGAGCACAACCCGACACCGCCAGGTTCAGGTACCGCATGCTTTCACTATGGGAGGCTCTTTCTTCCTGCCACAGGAGGAAAAACTTCAAATTAAAAACATTTACTTCAACAAATGTACATTTATTAAAACCTGAACTTTAAATGTCTGTTTTTCCTAAACTTGTATTACAAAAACGCACAAATATTAAAACAACTCCGCTGACAAAAATGTATGCAGAACCGCTACAATTTGTGTATATTGTCATCTCAAACTTGGATGAGATAAAAGTTTTAAACGTATACAGTAAATAAAAAACACTACAACAACCAAAAACAGTGACATACGACAGGCAAAATGTAGTTTATCTACAAAGAACTAGCTGTCGAATACAGTAGTCCTGCGCTTTTTCAAAATAAGCGTGGACACGACACAACTGGCTGATTGATGGATGAGATCATGCGATTAATTGATTTATTGATTATCGCGACAGGTCCAGTTGTTAGTGCAGAACAAACTTTGGACTGCAGCCGCCTGTATTGGAGCATTCCACACCTCCATGGGGGGGTTCCCCTGAAAACCTCCACTCTTGAGACCTGGATTCAGAAACCTTCAGGTTCTGAGAGAATGAGGCCGTTGTCTGTAAATGAACCAACGTTTCACGTCGTGTAAATGGGGCCTCAGACTGGCTGCCCTGTCTGTCAATCAAGACAAATTTCATAGCTGACTATTTTTAATGCCATCTACCTTTGAGGTCAACGGGCACTCCTGATCTGCACCTTCAGAAAGAGCTCAAGTCTCTCCCTGTATCTGTATTTGCACTGCAGTCCGCTGTGTGGCACCTCAAAACCAGATGACAACATTAAACAGAAAATTCTAGATCCCCATCCTCCTCATGAGCCCCTTTCAGAAAATGAAGTCTGGAAGCAGCAGGAGGACGCCTTTGCCTTCATTACCTCAGTGGGGTTGAGCCAGTTGTCAGTGTTGTCGTCACTCTGAGCACTTTTTAATGCACAGACGACCGTCTTGGTCACAGCTTCTGTTACTCTCGCCACGTCATCCACTTCCTGTGCAGCAACGGAGAAACGAGCGTCATAAGAATTACGGTTCACGTCTTTAAAACGACACTAAACGATAACGCTGCGGCCTTTAAGCAGAGACAGGTTGTTGTGTCTGTGACCGTGGAAGGGAAGTTGGAGAGGAAACCTTGGAGCAAACATTCGTCTGGAAGCGGGAGCTTTAATTCATGTGGCACGCTCTCCGTGTGTGAGCACACTCATCATAGTGACAGTGAATCTTTTCCTGCAAGGCCTCTTCATTATTCAAACATAAGAGGGGCTTTAATGTGGAAGGACTAATCACTGCTAGGATCAATAAAAGCAGGAGCTCTTCGCAGTATTGATGGAAATGTCACTAACAGTAAATATGGAGAGCATTACTTCAGTGCTTTCTTTGGACAGAAGCCAGAAGTGACAGAAATGAGTTACCAGCTCAATCCAGGTGTTGACACTGACGGTGAGGGGATCCACCGACTCCACATAGTGCCACCAGTGTCTGGGAACGAAAAGCACCTGTGTGAGCAGAGAGAAAGTTCAGTCATGTCTCTTGGCTCCATAACTTCTTCACAAGTTATGAGAACCAGCAGTACACTAGCAATCCACTAGATGGGAGCACAAACCGCCCCCACGCTGCTGGAGCTCCATCCATTCATAAAGCAGGTCTATTAAAGAGGAGATGGCTTATTGATTCCTGAGCTGTGCCATTGTCTTGAGTCACTGGTGGTCTGACAACTCAAGATGAATGATCAGTCTCCAGATTTGATTTGCTGAGGTAGAACCCTCTCTGTGGGAGAAACCAAAGCTATCCTTTTTAGTGTCGACACGTCTTCTCTGTGCAGAGGGAAACTAACCCAAGCAACTGCATGGAAACGGCTAAAGCCAGTGGTGATATTGACACGAGTTGAAAGTTGCTTATCTAGGAAACTATTGGAGACATTTAGAGGCCGGGGACATCAAATGTTCAAGGTACAAAGATCAGAAATGTCTCTCAAACTTAGCCGAGGACTTGTTTACACCAGAAAATGTACCTTTGTGATATTTTTGTTCCAAAAGAAAACACGATTGTCGTGAAAAAGATTATCAGTATCTTACGCAGAGCAGGTTTCTCACAAACAAAACGAAGGGGTCAGCAGTGTCTCTGACCTACAAATCAATTACTGAGCGTTCGGCACAGCTGCATGACAGCTGGCTAACATGTTGCTCATTAGAGGCACAGCAGCCTGGCTGGATAATAAAACACAGCTGATGTGTTGTTGTTGTTGTTACTCTTAGTAAACAAAATAATCCAGGGAAAATGAACCCATTCAGTACAGTAGTCCCTCGATACTTCATGGTTCGACTTTGGCTGACTCACTCTTTCGCAGGTTTTCAACGTAAGATTGAAAATGTTAAATGGACTGTACTTCTGTAGCTCCTTTCTATCTTATCAAGATACTCAAAGCTCTTTACAACAATCTGTGCCTCATTTAACCATTCATACAGCTCTATACTAGATCTATACAAAGCTCATTGAACAAATCATTCTAAAGAGACTAATCAGAGCTTTATCACATTCATACACCGATGGGACACACATCAGAGGCTATGAGGGGTTCAGTGTCTTGCCCAGGGACACTTCAGCATGTGACTGCTGGTGGATTCAAACCACCAACTCCTGCATTGGCGGACAACTGTTCTAACCACTCAGCCACATCCGCCCAGTTGTACACATTGTTTCCCGGTGGCCTGGCCATCAGTGATCGCCGAGGGACCCCCTCCTTTCTCTTTCTGAGGCCGTCAGCTCTCTTTCGCAGGGCTCTTTTAGAGCCTTTAGAGAGTTTAGCACATTGCAAAGTGTGGGAAGAGTTTATAAAGCCTTAAAACGTATATAAATACTAAAATAAATATAATAGGGGTGCACCAATTGCAGTTTTCTGGCTGATCACCAATCTCTAAAACGTCTGACCTGCCGATTACGATTTTGGCCGATACCGATTTTGTTTTGTAAGCGACACTGTCAGGTGTTATAAGGTCACGATGCACCTTCAGTTTTCCAATGTTATTTTATTGAAAAACATACCTTGAACAATGTCCTAGACACAATACAAACATGTTTTAAATGGCCATGAGGTAGAGCTCTGAAATATGAATAAAGTTTAGACAATTGTTGTTAAAACTACAAAAAATCGGTTTCTCATGTATCGGCTGATCTCCCAAAATGAAGGAGATCGGGGCTAAAATATAACGTCCTTGACAGATTTTCACCCATCGTGGGGGTGTCTGGAACATAACCTCCACAATAAATGAGGGACTACTGTATTTAGATGTTTAAGAAGCCAAACAGGTCTTATCAATAACCACTGCGCCAGACTCTGACCTGCCCGGGCTGCAGAGTGACGATGTGGGCCCTGGCTCTTTGAAACTCGGGGAATCTCTTCAGGTCTGGACGGAGAACGTCCACCTGGCTGAAGATACTGGACTCCTCGTATGGGATCCGTGTCGGGTACAGGTTGGACGTGTCATCTGGTGGAAAGAGATGCCAGCGCTTCCTGAAAGAAACACCACAGCTTAAACTTCAAGAACAGCTAAACGTAGCTCTTACTCTGCTTTGTTAGTCTCTGTAGTAAAGGTCAGGTAAGCCTTTGATCTACTGGGCGCCACATAAAACAAAGCACAGCAAATATTCACAATTGTTCAAACAAGTAGAATTAAATAAACTACGGATCTATTCATGTCAAACTGGCATTTTTTTTTTACCAGACCTAAAAATTAATTTTCATTCCTTGAATCGTTTGTTTTGCAACACAGAGCAAGCGTTTCTATTCTTCTGTTCACGCGACCCGCTGTGGGGTCAGATGTCGTGGTACCAATCAGCACCGTTGTTTTTTCATGGAGCAGCAGAGTCAAAGGACTGGACTTCTTCCCTTTGGGGATCAATACCAAATAAAAGAACCTGAGAACCAATTACAAAAGGTGAGATATAACAGTTGCTCTCTCACAGAACAGGAGAGCAAGATTAGGTGGACCTTTTCATTTCATTTCTTCACTCTCCTCTCCATCTCCACCTCTGGAGCAAATTAAACCTTTTCCAGAGCAGAGGACAGATCACACTGTCAACAGCAGATCTTCTCCTTCTTCCTCCTCCTCTTCTCCATATTCCTATTCTTTCTATTCTTCCTTTTTCTCCTTCCTTTTCTTCCCTCTTCTTCCTCTTTATCGTCATCATCTTCTTTCTGTTCTTCTTTCTTGTTCCAGTTCTTCTCCCTGATCATCATCATCATTATCATCATCATCATCATCATCTTCATAATCTTCTTTCTTGTTCCAGTTCTTCT